TACTGTTATTCTTTTACATTTTATTGTTGGATGTAACTGCGTACATAATTTCGTTCCACCACATATACCACATGAAATGCGAATGACAAATAAATCTCTCTCGTACTCTGACTCTAATCTCTAAGGGAGAGTCCAGCTACCCTGTGGAGAAAACTAATTTTGATTGCCTGCGCCTGCAATCTCATACTTTCGGTCACTACCCAGAGTTCATGGTCATATATGTAGGAATGCAGGTCAACTGGTAAACAGATAAAATTCACCTTACAGCTCAGCTCCCTCTTCACCACAACAGACCGTCACAGAGTTTGCAATACTGCAAATGCTGTATTGATCCGTCTGTCAATCTCCCGCTCCATTCTTCCCTCACTCATGAACAAAACGCCGAGATACATGTACTCCTCCACAGGAGACAGAACCTCAGTCCCAACCTGGAGACGATAATGCACCCTTTTCTGACTGAGGACCATGGCTTCAGATTTGGAGGTGCTGCTCCTCATTCCAGCCGCTTCACACTCGGCTGCAAACCACTCCAGTAAGAACTGAGGATCACGGTACGATGACGTCAAAAGGACCAAAGATGGAATCTTGATGCCACCGTACCAGACTCCCTCCACCCCTTGCAAGTGGAGGGCCCACAGGAAGGCAAACCCATGTTGCTCATTTGGGCTGAGTCTGACCAGTCCCAGACCCATTCACCAGGTGCTTACCGACGAGCCCCTCCCCCAGGCCTGGCTCCAGGGTGGGGCTGTGGTACCCACATCTGGGAAGACACAGAACTCCTTGATGTTGTCTGTCCATGAGTCTTTGGAATCACCATTTATCTGGCCTGTCACCTAGGACCTATCTGCCTTGGGAGACCCTTCCAGGGGCAATTGCCCCCAAATAGCATAATTTCTAGGACAATTGGGCACTCAAACTCCTCCACCATGATTAGGTGGTTATTCAAGAACAAGTGTATTGTATCATATTGTATTGTATTGGTCTTTTATTGTAGTATAATGCATTGTATTGTATTGTGTTGTATCACAATGTGTGTAACATTGCATTGTATAGTATTGTGTCATATATAATTGCATTCTATCATATTTTATTGTATTGTGTTGGTCTTGTATCATAATGCATCATAATGTATCGCATTGAATCGCATCGTATTGTTTTATTGTATTATATTGTATTGCGGGCAGCACGGTGGCGCAACTGGTAGAGCTGCTGCCTCTCAGCAAGCAGGTCCCTGGTTCAAACCCCGGTCCGGGGGCCTTTCTGGGTGGAGTTTGCATGTTCTCTCCGTGCATGCGTGGGTTTTCTCCGGGTGCTCCGGTTTCCTCCCACAGACCAAAAACATGCATGTT